GCCTTTTCTTCCTATGGAAAAATACTGGCAGTGTGGACAGTGGAGTCTGGTGAGTGGGGCCACAGAAACCAGATTTAGGAGCCCCAGGCACTGCCGGGGTGGTTCTGTGTGTGCCCCTCTTATCAGAGAACATTCCTGTGGTTGCTTTATGCAGCACAGAAGAAAGAAAGGGAGGGGGACATTTTGTTTCCCCCTTAGCCTCAATGCCACTGGAGCCTGGTCAGTTTGGGCAAGGGGTGCCCCGTTGCCAGCCAGGCTTCGGCTACTCCCAGCCAGCCTACTTTTGCCTCCCTCCTTTCTTCCAACCAGCCCACGGAGTGGCACATTTGCTCCACAGCAAGGAATCGAACATGATTGCAGGGAAGCCTGCTGAGCAACATTCCCTCTAATTTCCCAGAGTGCTGGGCAGGCCCCCTGTCCCATGTGCATGGGTTTCTGGACATGACTGGAAGCAAATGGGCAGCAACACTGGCTTGGCTATGTGACCCCGATGCAGCGCTGTGTGGCTGAATACCCATGCAGCTTAGAGGGATTGTTGCTACCGATTCATCGCAGTACTGAGATTGTTCCTCAGTTGGTTAACCCAGATGTTCTTGCATGGCAACTCCCAAAAACCCTGGGCAGCACAGCTGGTGGTAAAGGCTTCTGGGAACTGCAGTCCAAGAGCACCTGGGTTGCCCAAGGTTGGGAACTACTGTACTGTATTAGACATTAAAAGTCAAGGCTTCACATTGTTATGGCATTGCAAGTAACAATGAAGGGAACATAAGAAGAATCAGTTGTCTTTGCCCACTGTTGACTTTGCTTTCACCCTCCATTGACCACTCTGCCTTCTGATGGGCACCAGTTGAATAATACCCATGTTTTTGCTGTCTGGGAGCAACAAGGGGCTCGAACCAATTTTGCATGATCTGACTTCCATTTATAGAATGGGATTTCCCCTTACTCTTCTCCTACTGCAGCCTTTCTTCCATTCAGATCTATTCCAGAGGCTCCCACAACCCTAAAGAGAAGATTTAGCAGGCATGTAGAAGGCATGTTGAAGGTAGGAGATGAAACATGCTCCTTTGGACATGTCATATTGCTAATGGATGAACTCAGATAGATGCAACCCAGGGAGAGCAGGAGTGATAAAGTGCCCATGTTATGCAAGTAACACAGGCAGGCAAATATTCTTTCAGCTGCAGAAGAGGCCTAAATGGATGATACCCACCACACCACGAGTGATGAGCAACACAAGTTCCATTCCTTGCTCTATGCCCACCGCATAGCTTACATCACTTCTTGTTAACCTGATGGCCCAATATAGGTAACCAAGTCCACACTGAAAAGTGTTGCCCCCCAACTGCAAGGAGCAGAATTGCTGCAAGACTTGCATCATTACTTACATGGCTCTGCAGGTTTGCCTCCACTTTTGTGAGTGCTTTCTTGAGGAACTGAGCAGCATCAGTAGTGCCGTTTCAGTGCTGGGCTTGTGCCAACGAAGACGATGCTTGTACCAGGAACATTATGGCTCAATCTAATACCTAGACTGTGTGTTTACATCAGTGCTCAAAATGTGCAACCTGGCACTTTTTTAAAAAGCCCTACAATTCTTTAAGAAAAACAGGCTCAGCATTCTTGCCCTACAAGAGACTCTTCCCTTTTATCCATTGTTAAACAGATCCCTTCTCACTGTCTAGTTAACATCCAACATCAAATACTATTAGCTGCCCTTGCCATCAATACCATCCTCTGTTATAACATGGAGAGCTGGAATAGGTACCTTTTTGGACTACACATCTCTAAATCCCCAGTGGTCATGTTGGTAGGGGAAATTCAGAGAGTTGGCATCCAAAACAGGCACATTTCTGCAAGTTCTGTACTAAAGAATTTTTGGAAGCTCTCTGGGGCGATGTGTTAAATTCATAGTCTGGGCAATAAGTTTGCTCGAATTGCTCTGCATAACAATGCTGAGATTGTACAGCAGGCTTCAGAAGGCAGTTGCAATTTACCTTTAATATAAATGCAGAATGAAGAATGGGAGAGGGGCAGATGCCTTCAGCAACAAGCTCCCATTCAGAGGCTCCAGCAATACACAAAGCACACACCCTGTGCTCCTGTTTACAAGGTAGCTTCCCGTATGGACACTGGTGTGGCATACAGTAATAGACAAGTGCCCAGATTTGGACTGGCAAACTCTGAGCCCAAATCCCTCAGACCTTGCCATGCCAACTCTCTGCCCACCCACAAAGATTCATATGCCATCTGTCCTCCAAAGAGCTCACAGTGGACATGAACGCTATCAGGGTTCCTTAGAGATATGTACGATTAAACATAAAATACAGTAACCCTGATCAACACATTTGACCAGACCCTTCAAGGGCTACAAGCCCAGACATTTTAAGAAGTGAAGTGCAGGAATGAGGCTGGTATGGGTGGCTTCTTTCTTAAGCATCAGCTGTATCTGTTGATTTAGGATTCAAGCCTTTGGTTTCACAAACACTGTAACATACACCTGCACAGATAGCAAAATGCTGACACTGTGTGTGTTTGAATCAGAGTTTGAAAAAGTTACTTTTTAAAATGACCTGTGCCAGATAGGGAACTTTTCCAAGCTCAGGATTAGATCCACCCAGTCCTTTTAATCTTTCCTAAATCCAGGCTGGATCTGGCCAGCCCTACACATCAGACAATAGGCATGTCTGCAGATTCAAGAAGGATTAAAAGGAATTTGTAAATCTGACCCAGCTGGTCTGAATAATCCACTCCTTCCAAGTCAGGAACGTTGATGAAAACTCCTTTATAAGTTATTGGAAGCCTGAGCCACAACTTTCATCACTGCGTGCACAAGAAACCACTATCCCTGTATAAGCAACTTTCTGTTGTTTGTGTTTAGGGAATAAGCAGACAGTACTAGAGTGAAAGCACTCACTGGAGCTTTGTTAACTCAAGTCTCTTTTAGAGAGCCTTTACTTTTGTGATTTTACTCAAACACAGGAATAATCACAGACACATTGATACAAGATGCATCAGGTGCAAAAGCAGAGGTTGTGAGGAACACCATCTTACTGAACCAAAATCATTTCTTCATCATTTCTGTCCAACAGAGCTTAGAAATCCACAAGTTCCTGGAAACCGTAGTCCAATTAAAAAAAAACCTTTTTGAGATTTGTGTGTTCATAATACTAGAGAAAACAGAGATGGGCATTTCAAGTTTTCAAAATGGACCCAAAAAGTTGCTTTGTATCAGCTCAGACCATCGGTCCATAACATTCTGTATTGTCCCTATAAATCAGCAGCGGCTCCTAGGATTTTGCATGAGTCCTTTCCAGTTCAACTTGCAAATTCCATAATTCAATCTGAGGCCTTCTACCATTAACCTATAACTCTTCTCAAAGATCTCTCTCTTTAAGTATCCAGTACTGAAGTGCTTTCTCATGAAGAAGGCACATAGGAAGCTCCGCATGCTAAATTAGATCACTGATTTATCTCAGTGCTTATGAACTGCTTCTCTGGGTTTCTGACACCTGACTGGCTTCATTGTCATATCCGCAAACTATCCTTCAGACCCATCCAAACAATTATTTTATCACCTACTTCTTGGCCACTTTGAAGATTCATGATTTCACTGGTGCACACAGCCCCTCCTACACAAGTATTCACAAACATTCTACACTATGTTAGTGCTCATAGCTGCTGTGGACAACCTTCTTGCCATTAGTACTCAAAGTCTGCCACTAGGGCCATTTGCAAAGTGGGGATGTGACACACTGCATTTTTATTGTATGTTTTGTTTTATTTTGTTTGAAACAATTGCTATTATTTTACTGTTAATATTTTAATTTATTATGATTTTAAACATAGAGCTGGCTGGATAGCTCAGTGAGTTAAGCACTCTGCAGAGCCAGAGGCTGGGAGTTCGATTCCCCCTGTGCCTCTTCCAGAGTAGAGCCAGCCTGGGTGGCCTTGGGCAAGCTGCACAGTCCCAGGATGCCCCCAGAAGAAGGGAATGGGAAACCACTTCGAAGTACACAGTACCTAGAAAATCTTGGAAAGGGTCACTACATAAGTCATAACTGACTTGACAGCACAAGTTTATTATTACTATACACTTTTTCAAACTGTTGGACACCAACTTGAGTTCCTTCATTACGAGAAAGGTGGGATATTTAAAAAGGAAATAAATACATAAAGCCTTGTCAGCTTGGTGAGCCTGCCAAATCTTGTGCTGAGCTAACAGAACTTTGGGGAGCCCAGATTCACCTCCATGGCACACTGGAGTGGGGCTTCATTGCCATCCAGAAGGATGAGACCACCTTTACACGTTATGCGGTCCCTGTATCACAGAGTGGAAGATTCCCCCTTCCCATCAGAACAATTTTCTTCCCCCTCAGCCGAACTGCCACCCTGCAATGCCAAAACCATTCATCTTGGCTAGACTGGACTGAACGAGACACAAGACTGACCATTTGTTCTGATCGTCTGCCAATCTCCAAATGAAGCCCATGCCATGGGACCCTCATGGCTCACTCCAGAGGAGTATCATTGAAACCAAACCAGTAATATGGAAGATGAGGGACAGGTTTAGTGGATACAAGTGGATACAACCCTGAAAGTGTTGCCATTTGCTCAGAGGAAGGAATCACACTCTTCTTCATTCTATCTACAGTATTAGTTGTACTTATAGTTTGCCTTTTCTCCAAGGATCTTGAGGTTAGTTGTACTTACAGTTTGCCTTTTCTCCAAGGATCTTGAGGCACGCAGCCTCTCTCTTCATTCCATCTTCATGTGCACAACAACCCTAAAAGGTCGGTCAGGCTGATTTGGAGAGACTGATCCCAGACCGCCCCATGAGTTGACCCTGCATTGCCCACAATCTCAGACCCACAATCTGATCACTAGGTGTCCTTTTATGATTTTCGACTGTGGACAGATTTACACCTTTTCTCTGAGCAAGCCTCCCTGAGCTCCACTTGCCACAGGATTGTATTAGGAGCAACAAAACAGTCAAGCCTTACCCTATTCAGACCGAGGGGTCTCATCTCGTCCTCTTTCACTTCCACCAGAAGACACCCAGCAGGTCTGCCGCCTTCTCGGAGCGACGGGGCTGCCGAGAACTTCAGTCCTGCAGGCAGCCGGCGCGCCCCCGTCGCTTTGTCTCTCTTGGCGATCTTTGCAGCCAGACGTTACCTCTTCAAGGTGCCGCCCTTCCAACCACCACCACCACCGAGAGAACCCACAACAACCATCAGATCCCGGCCGCGAGAGCCTTCGGGAATACACAGAAATGAAATCGCTTGCTCTGCAGGCTGAGCTGCTGCTCACTATTCCGAACACGGGACTAGATTCTGCCGGGATCCAGAGTTGGCGGAACTCTTTCCAAGATCGTGCAGGGCATGTGCGAGAAGAACTTCCTTGCTGGTGTCGCTCTTAGACGTGTCCTGGGGGGACAAGAGGGCGCGGAGGGGGGGGGAAGAGAGGAATGAGAGAGAGCGAGCGAGCGAGAGAGAGAGCTTGGCTGGTAAGCGTTTGCTCTGCTTAACGGCCAGCAAACGTACTCGTGGAGCGCTCCAAGGGGGCCAGCCCCGTCCGAGTGGTGAGGAGGGGAGGAGGAGGAAAGGTTTGTTCACTTGTTGAGGCGCTTTTCACAATAAAAGCCCTCTGGAGCCTTCTCTCTCTCACACACACATGCACACACAACGTTAAAGAGCTGCCCTCACTTGAGTTATAATACTGAGAGAGAGGCGATTTTCTTGTGCTAAAATAAATGGAGATTCGAAGATGTGGCCTTTATTCATTGGGAGGCTCATCCATGAATGCCAGGTGGGAGGAAAGCCACAGAAGAACGGAGTTGGGGTGGAGCAGTGCTGAGTAGTGGTTAGAGTGCCAAACGAATCTTGAGGATGACTAGGTTGGCTGGATGGCTCTACCTGGGAAAAGAGCCAGCCTGTGTAGCCTCAAGCAAGCTGCGCAGCCCCACACACACCCCCACCCAAAAGCATTCTGCTGAGTACTGTCTACCTAAAAAACCCTGGGAATAGTCACCCAGGTATTATATAACAGATACAAGTTTTAACCAAAAGCTTTAGTATCAGTTAAATATTGGCACAATATGTATGCTGTTCCTAATACTGCCCTGATTTGTTTGGGTTTTGTAGCTCTGATGGTGTGATTTTTTAGATCTGCAGCTGGTTATAGTATAATGTGAAATCTCTTGATATTATTCCCAAAGCCCCAATGACTACAGGAACCACTGAAGTTTGTTTCATCCACATACTAATATGTCTGGTGTGTTATGTTCAAGGTGTCTTATTGGTTTGGATCCGGAAAGCCCACAAGATCTTGATGTCGTCATTTTCTTGCTCACAAGATCTTGATGTCGTCATTTTCTGTCTTTTTCTTTACCTGATGTTCTCATGTGTTTTTAGAGGCTGGTGAGTTATAAAATAATAAAATAAAATAAAATGATGATGATGATGATAATGATGACGACCAGTGCACTAATTTTGCCCCTTTATCATGTCTGATTTTGTAATCTATTTGTGCATTCTTTGGACATTTGCAGATGAAGTGTGACACAGTCTTTGGACATGCACAGATGAGCCATGACACAGTTGTTGTTGTTGTTACTCATATCCCAAGTTTGCCATGGAACAAGTGGCCCTGGACTTGTTCTACAATCACTTGCTTTCTGTCTCCTCTTTCCTAGCCACAGGGTTGTTGTGAGGATTTAGTGGATAAGAGTCAAAGCCAGTTTGGTGCCTTGAGATTCCAATAAGAAGACTTGAGATCATCAAATACACTAAAATATTTTTATGGATTTTACAATAGACCAGTGGTTCTCAACCTTGGGTAACCCAGGTGTTCTTGGACTGCAATTCCCAGAAGTCTTCACATTAGCTATGGTTGCCAGGATTTCTGGGAGTTGCTGTCCAAGAACACCTGGGTTACCCCAAAATGGAAACCACTGCAATAGAAGATTCTTATGCCATGTTAAATCCATGAAATTTTATTTGGCACAAATGTATGGGACTTTAAACTCTGTAGTGTTATATAATATAATTGATAATTTATATAATTGTTAAAAAATTATGTTTTAAATGTTTTTAAAGATGTTCTTTGCTATGGTTTTATGTATGTAAGCCACCCCGAGTAGACTTTGTCTAGAGGGGGGTGGGGTAAAAATCAAATAAATGTAAAATAAAGTAAAGTCAGGTCAGCAGCTTGGGTGTGCTCCTGGATTCAGCCCTGAGCTTGGATGCACAGGTTTCAGCAGTGGCCAGGAATGCATTTGCACACTTATAACTGCTGCCTCAATTGTGCTGTTTCCTTGAGATGGCCATCATGACACATGTGGAGCTGCCTTTGACAAATGTTCAGAAACTTCAGCTGGTTCAAAATGCTGCAGCCAGACTGCTGACTGGTGCTGGTTATGGGGAGCATGTAACTCCCTTATTCCAACAGCTTCATTGGCTTCCAGTCTGTTTCTGGGCCCAATTCAAAGTGCTGGTTATTACCTATAAAGCCCAGGCTATTTGAATGATTGAATCACCACATATGAGCCTTTTCTGCCCTTAAGATCTTCTGGAGGGGTGGCGGCCCTTCTCATGGTTCCACCAACTTCCCAAGCTTGCTTGGTGAGGGCACAAGAGAGGACCTTCTCAGTGGCTGCTCCCAGTCTTTAGAATGCACTGCCTGAGAAGCCAGGTTGGGCCCCTCCCTCTTGGCCTTCCATTGTCAGGAAAAGACCTCCCTCTTCAGGCAGGCCTTTAAGTGGCTGCAGAAATGCTGCTTTTTTAACATAGAGGTTTCTAAATGTTTTTGAATTGTTTTTCTATTTGATCTTATAATCTTCATGTATGTTTACTTGTTTTTTAATGTGATATTGATACAGTGTTTTTAAAATTGTTTTAACTGTTGGGAGCTGCCTTGGGTCCTCTATGAAAAGAAAGGTGGCATATAAACAAATAAACAAATAAATAAAATATCACAGCATATACATTCAATTTAAAGATCAATTAAAATTATGAGCATTTTCAAATTTCCCTTCAAAAGTAATGAATTAAAAGCCCATGAAATGCAAATCTTTACCCAAGCTGTAAATTAATTGACAGTTAATGATTTACATAATGACATTAAAAATCAATGTTTAAAATTTAGTCAGGAAAACAAAACAGTTTCAAATGAATTATTTCGAAACTTTGTTCACTATGCCCCTTAAAAGAAAGATAACATATAGATAAGAACACCAGTGATTGTCTGAGATGGATTGTAACTGAGCTGCAGCAGGTGTATTGCAAGGTTTTTCATCTTTGTTTCCATTTGGAAGCTTTTTAATTTATTTATTTTCTCTTATTTTGAATAATGCCTTCAATTTATAAGCAATTTCCTGTGTGGTGAGTGACATGACAGGTGATCTGTGTGGTAGCTTCAGATTCCATCTTCTCATGCAAATAGGTGTTTCAGATGAAATTCTGGCATTTGAAGAACTAGACCTCAGAAACAAATACAACACCCTGTCAAAAGACTGAACAAAATGAACCTCGGAGGAGTAGGGTGGAAGGCAATCTAGAAGCCTGGTCCTTGAAGAGATGTGTGAGTGTCTGGAGACATGCCCTTACAATCTTAGATGAAGGCCTTACCATTTTTAAAGCCTGTCAGCAGTGCTTCTCTTGGTTCTCCAGATGATTTGAGCTTCAAACGCCAGAGGGTCTGTGTCAACGGATTCTAGCTGTTATGGTCCAAAAGATGTGAAAATCAGTGTGGTGTAGTGGATAGAGTATGAGACCAAGGAGATCTGGGTTCAGATCCCCTCTCAGCCATGGAAACTCATTGAAGAGTAGTAAAACCATTCCTTGAACATTTCACTTGTTGCCATAAATTAAAAGTGACTTGATGGCAGATAACAACAACAGTCTAAAATGTATGAGAGGTCTAAGCTCCTCATCTCTCCCTTACACATTTTTAAGCCTGCTGCAGATTTCCCTCCTGCTGAGTATACAGGAGAGGATCTGCTCAGTGGTGGTGCCTCAGCTGCATCACGCCCTCTGTTGGGAGGTTCATTTAACTCATGACTAACATTCTGCAGCCTTTAAGCCAGTGGTTTCCAACCTTGGGTCCCCAGATGTTCTTGGACTAAAACTCACACAAGCCTTCACCACTAGCTATGCTGACCAGGATTTCTGGGAATTGTAGATGAGGATTATCTGGAGACCCACTGCTTCAGGACAGATACTACTGGATAAATGATTGGTGCCCATGTTCCATGTTCCAGAACCAGTGTGAATATAGTAAAACATAGAATTGGGTTCATGAAAGGGAAGGAGGTGTCAACCGTCTGTGTTGCTTACAATAATCAAATACTAAGGAATCCCAAAATAAAATGCATGCTGTTAAAACATCCTATATTAAGAGCCCATATGGACACAAAGCATAGCATTGCCATCAAAACATATGCAGATATTCTCCAAGAAAGGTTCTCCTTACCAATCTCTTCCTTCCCCCATGTCTAATCTGGATTCATGGGTGCCTTTTATGATGGGGTATATGCATGTTGTATTCAGAAACATTGTGAAATTAACCTTTAGTAGTTTGTCCAAATCTAATTGTTAGTCCCAACTAAATTGTCTAATTCTAATTGTTAAGCCCACTGAATCAAGGAAGCTTATGTAATGTATTGACTTACTAATTTCCCATTGATTCAATGGCTCTCAGTCATGTTAAGACTATTTGTTGCATTTATTTATTTATTTATTTATTTGTTTGTTTGTTTGTTTACATCTATTTTGAAATGGCTAAGATACATACAAAGATTTCAAAGGCTGGTAAAACAATTGTTTAGTTGTTAAGTTGTGTTTGACTCTTCATGACACCAAGGACCAGAACACCCCAGGCCCTCCCGTCTTCCACTGCCTCCTGGAGTTTGGTCAAATTCATGTTGGTAGCTTCGATGACACTGTCCAACCATCTTGCCCTCTATCGTTCCCTTCTCCTCTTGCCTTCACTCTTTCCCAACATCAGGGTCTTTTCCAGGGAGTTTTCTCTTTTCATTTTTTTTAATAATTTTATTTTATTTAGGAACAGGGATAAAGGGTACAGAAAGAAAGAGGGGATAGGAAAGGAAAAATGGTTTTGGGGGATAGGAGAGCATAAAGTATAACATCATCCAATCAATTCATATTACTAATACATATCAACTTTTTGCTTTTTCACAGTTTGATTACCCTCCTGCTTTTATCTTATCATTTAATTTTAATTTTATTCTATGTTATTCCAACATTGTCTGGTAGCTGCTGCCATTTATACAATACATCCCATCGTTCAGTTTCTTTTTGAATTGAACAGTCTTTCAGCCCATCTGACAGAATATCCATTTTTTTCACTTCCCATATTTTCACCATAAAATT